ACTTCTCCCATGTCAAATTCTGATCAATCCCAACCATCAAAATCCAATATTTCACCATCAAAAGACTCATCAATCTTATTTCTTCAAAAACCCTAACAGTTTGAATCGAGTTTACTCTTTGTTAGCCATCGGAATATAAATTTAAGTGATAAAATGATATTTTAAAAGTTAATAGGTGAGAAAGTGTCATTAAGTCATTATTTGGGCGGGGAAAAGTCAGTTAACTCATTCAATATATTTGAAGGGTGTGGTTGGAGATATGTGTGGGCACTGGCATTGGCAATAGGATATATATATGAATATGAGTAGTGTTGGTAACTGGCATGGGCTCACAAGTTGAGGGTATGATTGGATCATGAAACAAAGCTCGTGGGCTTTAACTTTCCCATTCTACTTTCTTTAATATTTAAATGTGTTTGGCAAGGATTAGAAATAAAGTAAAGGGAAAGAAAGAAGCTCACTTGTGACCCCATTTCAAAGGGCAGCAAAAAGGAGTGTTTGTGTGTTAGAAAATTGAAGAAACAGATAGTAAAGAGGAACACAAGAAAAGGAGAAAAGCAAATAAAGCTGTAAATGCCTCCCTCCTTTCTTTTAAAATACCATCTAAATTCCTAGCACACACAAACCATACAGTTCATAAAGCTCCACCAAGTTTTAAATAAGAGCGAAGAAGAAGAAAACAAGTGAAACAAGATCAAACAAAACCACCACCACCATGAAAGGAAGAGAAGCCAAAGGACCTCCATCAACTGATCTCTTAGTATGTTTTCCATCTCGAGCTCATTTAACTTTAATGCCAAAGCCCATTTGTAGCCCGGCGAGGTCATCAGAGCCCAACAAACGCCACAACAACACCCACCACCACTATCACCATCACCACCACCACCACCACAACCACAACCACCATCCAAAGAAATCAACCTCCAGAAGTAGTGTTGGGCAAGCTAGCCCTCTCTTATGGGCCAAAAACAAGCAAATGGGTGGTCCGGAGATCACGGAACCAACCTCCCCAAAAGTAACCTGCGCTGGACAGATCAAAGTGAGGCACAAGACAAGTGCATGCAAGAGCTGGCAATCAGTGATGGAAGAGATTGAGAGAATTCACAACAACAGGAAGCACAAGAAAAAGCCTACATGGATTGAGTCTCTTGGGTTCAAGAAAGATATCATGCACTTCTTAACATGTTTAAGAAGCATACGATTCGATTTTCGGTGTTTTGGTGCTTTCCCACATAGAGAAAATATTACAACTGATGATGATGATGATGATGAAGAAGACGAGGAATGTCAAGAAAACCCTGAGGTTGTAGAAGTAAGTGATGGTAATGAGACACCAAGAACCGTTTTTTCTAAGTGGTTTATGGTGTTACAAGAAAATCAAAGCAATAATTTTTACAAAGACGAAAGAAATAAAGATAAGGAAAGGTGTTCTCTTGATGATGAATCAGTTGGTGCACCTGCAGCTCCTCCACCAAATGCTCTGTTGCTTATGCGCTGCAGGTCAGCTCCTGCTAAGAGCTGGTTAGAGGAAAAAGAAGAAGAAGAACAAAAAAAGGAAAAAGTAGATGACGATAAAGAAGAAGAAGAAGAAGAAGAAGAAGACAGAAAAAAAGAGGAGAAGAAAACAAAAAATACAAAGAATTTGAAGTCGTTAATGGAAGAAGAAAAGAGAAATAATAAAGAGAACTTGGTAGTGACGAAAAATGACACTGATTTCTACAAAATTTCATCTGATATAGCAAAAGAGACATGGATTGTTGGCGGCATGAAAGATCTATTATCAAGAAGTCGAAGTTGGAAGAGATGATTCATCATGATCATCCTGGTGTCTACTACTACTTTTCCCCATTTCATTTTCAATTATCCTGCTAGTTAAAATTTTATCTTACCTTTTTTTCTTTTTCTTCTTCTTTTTAAATACTTTTATGTGGTTTGTTTCTCATCAAAAATATATTCCCTATATAAGTCGTTGTTTGGAAACTGGGAAAACCATCTTCCTCATCATCACCATTTCTATAGCTTACTTTTAATTTGTTTTGTTATCATATTTGTACAGCTTAATTTTCTTTCCTTCCAATGGAAATAATTTTTTGCTGCCCATGTACATTTTGTGTTAATGTTAATGTATTTGCTCATCTATTGAGAGTCGCAAAAATAATCTATAATTAGATTTGTTGTATTGCTCAAAAAGATCCATATCTCTGTGTTATCCGATTGGCCTGTCACATGTGGGTGTGTATTAAATGCATACAAAATCCAATTATCTTACAGTCACATGGATTTTGATCTCGGATCTCTCTACAATTGATATATACTGCTGATTTGACCCGAGCGATGGGGCCAATGTAATGTCTTTTTCCTGCATATTCTCTGTTTAAATAGTGAATAGCGTTTCTGATCAGATTGCCAATAGCTTATGTTACGGGTCAAATCAGTAAGTAAAGGAAAATAATGGAAGAAACAGAGGTTGAAGTGAGTACAACGTAATTCACATGGCATTGATGCTGCAATATATTGTCGTTACCATAGCCACCATTACCAACTTGGGATCTAAATCTGCCAAAACCAAATGATGGCTGCAATGTCATGTTTGTTATTTAGTGGATTCGGAGTCCTTTTTTGTGTCGTGGATTTTAACTTCTCTCGGTAAAAGGGACAAAGTAAATAATAAAACTAGAATGTTCGTTGTTCTAATAATGGTTCATAATTATGTCCTCTGTCACGCCGGGACAACAGACCAAGAATCGATTAATTTTGACCTAATGTTAATTATATGACTTAATTTATGCTCTATTCTTTTGTGTTCATCGAGACTGAAATATTTCAACTCGCCACTTACCTATGTTAGGAAAAAATGGAGGCTTAGGGTGAAATTAAGAGGAGTACATTTCCTTGATATCCCAGAAAGCAAGAACTTGATGGACCTCCAATGAAGTATTGATTTATCTGAAGAAAGACGAAATTGATCTTAAAAATCCATTTAAAATGTTGTAAATTTCCCGGGAGAAAAACGTTTGATTTACTGATCTTTTGACCAGTAACTGCAATATTCGATCTTTTGAACAATAACCGTAAGGAGATGGATCAGAAAAAGAAAATGATTTGGTTAACAATGATTCAATGAATGTACTCAAAAGCATCAATTAAAGGGCTCTAGAAAATATGTATATAGCAAACATCTGATAAAGTTGGTCCAAGGACGCCATTGTCATGAGATTTGAAAAATGTTCAGATGTAGAATGTGGATTAGATGCAGGACTTGAGCAGGTCCTGGGCCTGCTGTGGACTTTGACCATGGGCTTTGATGCTGCCTATTGGGGCTCATTAGATTGTCAAAGTTGACAATTATGGCCTTCAACGCAGTAGGCTGTAGCCTGTAGGCAAGCAAAATACCTACCTTACAAGAGTTAAACGATTTTTTTCTACCAAAATTTTTCACCCACATATGACAAACAAAGAGCAAATTTACTCCAGGTTAGTGAGGCTTTTGAAGAGGAGAATCTAATAAGTCTTTTGGTATTGAATGGTTAGCTATTAATAGTTGAGATTGATCAGAATTTGACTTGAACTGCGCAAACCTCAATTGTTTGATTGACAGGGTTGACAAGAGTAAGGTTTGAGAGATTTTGATGAGTGATGATCGAGGGAGAGAATGATGGTGGTGTGGGATTGCAATAATATCGAAATCGAAAACGAAATATAAATTTAGATGATAAAGTGATATTTTAAAAGTCTGTGGATGGGAAAGTGTCATTAAACCATTGTTTGGGTGGGAAAAAGTAACATTCATTTTGTCAAAGTAATAAATGTCTATCATTTATGAATTTTATCTTTTCTAATTTATGAATCTCAATAATTGATATAATTAATATTTTTAAAACAATTATTTAAATGAGAGAATTTATTTAATTTAGAGCAGGATGTAGTGATAGCCTGTAATATAAAGGGGATAAAAGATTTTTTTTTTCATAAGAGCATTAGAATATAAAGAATACGTTTATGTCAATTCAAACAAATCCAAGCTCTTGTTTAACAATTTTGGTTGTTGAAGATGTAATGTCACAGATTTAGTGTTCTGAGTTTCAAACATGAGACACAAAATCCATCACAATCTTTTAGGGTACGTTTTGTTCGGGGTAAGTAAGATTACTAAGATAATATCATCTTATATTACTTAATTATTATGTTTGGTTTTCAAGTAATATAAGATTTCGATAATCTTCCATAGCTAATAGTAATTGTTAGTAATCTAGGAAGTAATATGGTTATCTCAATTTTCTTAGGTATTTTAAGATTATCAAAGTAATCTTATTTTTTTTACAATTCTATCCCTTATTAATAAAATTTTAATACAATAATGCCCTTGTTTTTAAATTAATTTACATGAATCTGTCTTTTACAATTTTATCCCAATCATTTAACTTTTTGGATAAAATTACCCTTAAATTCAAAACAAATTACAGCCCACTCAAGCCACCACCCTCACCCACCTACCGCCGCTGGCGGCCAGCCGTCATGCATCTAGATCTAATCTGGTCATTTCCGACTAGAGCTGTCACAATCTAGCTATTTTCGACCAAAGATCTAGTCGGAAATGGTCATATCGGCGCATGGAGGCTATTTTCGATCGTCTGTGCGCCATTAGGTTGTCGACTACCCACGGTCAGTAGTGGGCAGGTTGGTGGGGGTGTATTGTTGATTTTCCAAACTTTTATTATGGGGTGGTTTTTGCTAAGTTTTTAAATGTAGGAGGGTTATATAATAATCTAAATAATAATATTTAATTAAAGGACAATTTAGTAATTTAATAACATACCCACCAATCTATTTCTCCTAACCAAACATATTAATATAACATATCCACTAATTTATTCCAACCAATCAAATATATTTGTCTAAACATTTTTCCAATAATCTATCTTTCTATTAATATAATATTTTTAGTAATATAACATTCCCTAAATCAAACATTTCCAATAATCTATCTTTCTATTAATATAATATTTTTAGTAATATAACATTCCCTAAATCAAACACACGCGTATTGGTAGTAAAATCTAACATTTCTAATCAAATCTTCTTTTCACCTAATAAACAAACAAAAAAGAAATAAGAATAGAGGACTGGTTAAGCATCCAGTCAAAGTCAATAAATAAATAATTACTATAGAAATTATCATCACAAAAGAACCCATCTCTTAAATCTCTCTTCAAGAATTTACTTTGTTGTGCCCCAATGATTCCTTCTTATCCTCATTTTCTTTGCTTAATAACTAATATGCAACGCCGCCAAAGTCATTAAGGCCATTAGCCCACATTATTTTTTTCCCAGCTTGGTTCTTTTCTTTCTTTCTGTTAAATTTTTTCTCTAATTACAATATGTTTCTTCGGCTGCTGTACAGTTTAACTGATTTTTCTAACAATTCGCGGTTGTTTCCAGGAATTTCTTTGACTCTTGATCCGTTCTTGTATATCTTGAAGGCTGGAATAGAACTTACACCTTCTGATTTAGCTAAGTAAGGGTGGTCTTCGACCTCCACCTAATTAATTAATTGCCAGAAACACATATCAGACAACTATATAATAAACTAAGAAGTTTTAAAATGGTAAAGCCATAATTAGTGTTAACCTCCACTATAACATTAAACATTCTATTGCTTTTCTTTCTATCAAATTTCACTTTAAAGATATTATAATCATTGTGTTTACCTCTTTCCTTAAATACTAAGTGGGGATTTCTAAAATGATTATCCCAAAGCATATATATTGGTAGGCCCATGCCAAGGTTCCAGAATAATTCATTGATCTATGATTAATTTTTTTTTTTTTTTTAAATTCTAAACTTCAAGTCTTTTTAGTTTAATTTGAGTTTTGATTTTCACCTTGAGGAAGTTGACAGATGGGAATCTCTTGCAGACTTGTTCCATAAGCTGCAATACTTGCTTGTGATTGGCCTTGTTACAGAATAGCACCACTGCCATCCCTGTTGTTCACACCAGAGGTCAATTTTCCCATTAAATTTGAATACATGACAAGTTTTAAACAAATTGTTGGTTAAAAGACTAACCAGGTGAGGTTACAAAGTGTCTAAACCGTTCATTGCTAGAGATGAAAACCAGATTTGAACCAAATTTCATGTCCTTAACATCTTCGCCACGTTGCTTTTTAAGCTGCACTTGTGCCTCAAACAATGCGCGCCCCACCTCCTCATCTCCTGGAATCTCTCTGATCAGCATCTCATAGTCTTGAACTGAAGCTTCCCATCTTTCCAGCTAATGACACCAAATTCATAGGAAATATTATAAGGATAATAAAAAATAAAACCAATGTTGGCATTAGCCATTGAGTAAAGGGTCAACAAAATTGTTTAAAATAGCCTTAAATCTCAAGTAACTATAATTCACCTTAGCATTGCAATCTGCCCTGCGTAGCCTGGCCTTACTGTAAGTAGGCTGCAAAATAAGCGCGGTCGTGCAATCTTCCACAGCTCTTTCGTATTGGCCAAGCTTAGATCGACAAGCTGCTCGATTGCATAGTAAGATTGAGTTGTATGGCTCGTGCTCTAGTCCTTCGGTGTACATATTACACGCTTCCAAGTATTGTGATGCCTTGAACAACAAGTTACCACTCAGTCTGGCTGATGCTATCGCTTTAGCTCTCTTTACTATGGTAACAATCTCTTGGTTTTTTGGATCAAGTTGAGCCGCATGCTGAGCTACTTTCACAGCATCTTCAAGCCTATTCACCAATAACACAAACCAAATTGAGTTGGGATTAAAATGTTCGTTTCTTTTTGCAGATGGCATCAAATTGCCCACACCAAAATTAGTAACACTCAACTATATTAAATTAAAAATGTACACAAACCTGCCTGTGGCCATGTAAACTTGCGCCTTCATCACCAAGATATAAGCGCTACCAGCAGGGCCAAACAATTTTGTACATGATTCAATGAGAAATTTTGGTCCCTTATTGTAGGTGGCATAGGCCTCTTGATGTCTTTGGAGCCTTAACAAGGCTTCAGTTTGCAGAGCATACACCTGCATTAGGGGCTCAATACTATTTAGCATAGGCATACCAAGGGAACTAATCACGTTAAGACATATAAGCTTGGCATATATGAAGCTTACTTTTGGAGCCGAATCAGCACCAACTGATATTGCAAATTGGGTCCCCTTTAACAAATCGCTCCACTCCTTTAAATTCCGAGCTCCGTTGCATCTGTTAAGCTGTTTTTGAAGAGCCTCAGCTTTGGCAATGTCTTCGCGGTCAACAAGGGAACCTGACTGTTTGTAATGATGTAATGCTTTCTCTGCCTCTCCTAGTCTGCAGGGTGTAATTCACATACTTGTTAAAAGAGAAACTTAAAATTCTAAATTTTCATTTCCTNATGGTCCATCCAAAATTTCGAACAAGACACAAGATGTGATCAATCTAGAGAATTCTGATCTGGGTTCTGGTTGTAGATCACCTGATCTTTGATATGTAATATGATTCTATGAATCATATGTGGGCCTTCATTGATATGTGTTTTTGATTATATATGTGAATATTATGTGATTAATCACTAATCATATCCAATTAGTCCCACGGTTGAATGGATTAATCCAAATGGGGTCCAATATGTATTCTGTTCATACCCATGCATATGTTATTGGATGTTAATTGCCAATAATTAGTTCAAAATACAACAATATTTTAGAGGATTTGTGGGGCTTAATTTCTGTAGAATTATCCTTTTCCCTTTCGGCATTGATTAAGATGTTCTTATTCATTATGTTATTTATAGGTGAAATCATAATTTATTCTGTAAATGTCTAGGTAAATTCGTCAGCAATCGCATGAAATTGTTGATTTATTTTGGTATGAATGATTAATATTACATGCATGTTGTGATACTTTTCTTTTTGGTCGGTGAAAGCCTCGGGATACCCCCACACTCAAAGTTAGGAGACTAATTCTTGATTGGGGCTCGGGTTAATACCCTTAACCACAAGTTGCTTTTAGTTAAATTCGAATCCTTGATATTGTAAGTAAAATTCGTCTATGGGAAATTTAGTTACCAACTAGGTAACATATCATGGTTTCTTCTATACTTTCTATAAGTGGCTCAATTGGGTTTCATTAGTTATAATATATCAGGGTAACAATATATCAACATAAAATGCTATTCTACCTAAGTTTGTGACAGAGTTTCGATTTCTTTTGAAGTACACAAGTTGAATTTAAAATTGACCAAGATGATAAACATTAAAGGTGCTTTTGTATTGAAAATGACAAGACATAAAATTATCCTCTTCATATTATCGATCAAGCACAATCTGGCTTTGACCCACCATTAAAATTTCTAAAGTAAGAAAGAATTTTGTTGGGGAAGAGAGTGAAAAAAACGACCCCATTATGCCTTTGTGCTAAATTTAACATCAACAGTATTTGTCTTTTTGAGGGCTCACAGAATTCACAAGCAAGAGCTGATCGTGGGACTTGTAAATTTCTCTAATTAAAGATGATAGAGACCCATTTAACGACTCAAACAATTGGACTAGACAATGGGCCTTTTTATTGGAGTCTTATATCGACTAAGTAAGTTCAAACGAACTGGGTTATAAGAAAGGATAATCCTCCCATTCAAAAAGGTTTTATTGAGTGAGGGGTTAGAGCCGACAATTACTTTCAATAACAGGCATGACCTAACATATGTGATTGACCGTGAGGGAGAGTATTGGAGTCCCACACCGACTAGACACGCTTAAGCTTATTGAGTTATAAGAGGCGGTAATCCTCACATTCAATAAGATCTTATTGGGTGAGGAGTCAGACCCATCTCAAATTCTATTACTTTTGTAAGCTTGGATAGAACTCTGATTAACAAATGGACTTATCAAGGGAGGGTGTCCAAACCCTTTATAACCCACATGCCCATATTCTTCTTTTCCAATGTGGAATCCTAATACTCCACCACGCTTCTGCAGTCAACGTCAACGTCCATGTCGACCTCTTTACTCGTGCCGGCCTCTAAGCGGATCAAGAAATTAAAGGAGAGAGTGCGTGGATGAATGAATGAATGAATGAGTGAGATAGGCAGAATAGTAACTAGACGACTGTCGTCACAATGCTGATGATGATTACTGTGAGACCGCAAAGATTCCAACTTATTTTAAAGAACCAAAAAAGAGGCTTTCTTAAAAGTAGAAAGAGAGATATTATTATGCAAATTGAGCAGCCAGCTCTCCACCGGCCACTTATTGATCGAAGAAGACGTATGAGAGAAACTTTTTGCCTTAAAAGAGATAGCTTAGATGTTCATATACTTTGCATTTAGGAAGAAAACATCTGTTTCAAACACTTGCTCAGATTCTTATGCTTCTTCTCCTTCTGGGTTAATGAAATTATCATCACATTCTTCATAATGTAATCTTTTGTGTTCACAGTTGTCGATAATTCTGCAGCTGGATGCCCACTTGAAGTTTGAAAGAGGCTAGTAGCGCCTAGCTGGCCTCATGCAAACACATTAATTACGCACGTTTGTGGCATGCAATTAAACTTACTAATTCAACAATGGTCAATGGTTATTATATGTTTTGCCCATTCAGGATTTTTGACTCTACTTTTGTATTCATGTTGTTCATTTTGTAACACTTTTTGTTCTCGCATTTCGATTTATAGGCAAGGAAGGCTGTATCTAATGATTATGGGAAGACTTTGTAGTTGTTATGATAGGATGTGTATCTTTTACATTATATCAATGTTTGATTCTAAATATTTTAATATGATTGGTTTTTTTCTTTTCTCAAGGAAAGCTATCCTGTAGCAACCCACCATTGCAATCCTTTAGATACTACCTTTGCTCCTAGCGAAGAATTAAACTTGGGATTGTGAGTTGAAACCATTTGCAACCCATTTGGTTCGTCCTTACTGCTAGCATTGGGCTACCCATGGGTGGGTGATAGGCTTGTTTTCCAAGAGGATAATGATTGAGAATTCTTTTATGCAATGAATTAAGTGGGAAAAAGAAAAGGAAATTGTCATTGTCCTTATTATATGACTTATTAGGGAAAGAAAAAACATACGGAGATCATACAAGATCACACTCTTGGTTTAATTTCATACATATAAGTCTTTGATTGAAGTAAAAAGCTTTGCTTCAATCTCTTCACCATCACAATACTTATCTTGTACAAAGAATTTGAGTCTAAAAACATTAGTAACATTTCTAAATATACAACATTCAAAACTACCACGCAATAACCATAATTTATTCTATGATTAGTGACTAGACACTAAAATTAGTAAGCATATTCTGCTTCATCCACACTGAGCAATAGAGCAAGCTAACACGACAAGTAAAGATAATTGAAACTTGAGTATGCTATTCATATCTTTCCTTGTTTAGCAAATGTAAGAGTCATATAAGTACTTCTAATTTTGCCCTAGTACTGGTGAATTTTCTAACAAGGGATAAAGTCACATCACATTTGATTGCTTTTCACTGTTCATAAAGCCTAACCAAAAAGTGTCATTTTCATTATAGATGAACCTTGGACATTACCAACTTGGGCCTGTTATAATTTTGGGTCTTTTGGGTTTTGACAAACCCATATTTTGAGTCTGGATTGTTTGTGGGATCTCCAAGCTATTCAATTGAAACTCTATATTTAGCTAGACTTTGGGCCTCATTTGATTTTCCGCCTGGTATGGGGAAAGCCCATTTACAGTTCTCTACCCACTAGCAAAGCTCTTCAAACTTTTTACTTTGGTTTTTTAGATTTGGGTATTGTGATGATTGATTGATTGTATCATTGTAACACATGAGAGTAGGCTTTGTGTAGACAGTATGCTGAAATTCTTGATTTTGGTTACTGTTAATAGTTGGATGAGTCCAGTTGGCTTGGCTGATCCAAAAAAATTTAATCTCCCACGTCTAAAGGCTATGTATGGTGAAGGAAATTGCATACCGTTATGCCATAAAATTCCTGATGCATGGATTCACGTTACATGTCCTTACCATTATAGATAAACTTGAAAGTATGTTTGGTTCTGAGAATGTTGGATTACTCGAATGTTAGATTACCTTAAAGATTACTCAGAATTTTTAGGAAAATGTGTTTGATTTGTTGGAATAAATTGGTGGGTATATTTTATTAATATGTTTGGTTAGTGCATCTTCAACCCAGCGCTATTTTGGGTTGAAGATGACCAAAATAGCGTGAATTTCAACTCCAACCCAGCACCATTTTCTGCACAAATTTGGTGCCTCGCTACAGTGCCATGCCAAATTTGGTGTGGCATTGTTCATGCACACCAATTTGGCGGTCACTGTTTAAACAGTAATTTTTTTTTTTTTGGTTATTTGTATTTAAGTTAATTTGTTGAAGTTGTCGTAGATGAAAATGTCCGATTTCAAAATTTTATTGCTCGACATAGACAAATAAAGGATACAGAGGCTCACCATGCTCTTTGAAAGGCATTAATTGATCATTTGTGGAAAGAATATACTAATTCGGAAAATTAAATTACTATCAATATAGAATTTTACTTTTGTGTTATTGTTGTTATTTTTTTTTTTTTCGGTATCATTTTATATTAGATGTAATGTTTTTTTATATTAAATGTAATGTTTGTTTGATTAAATAAATACTTAATTTTATTAAATTATTATAATTTTTAAAGTAATTATTATTTAATAAAAATATCATTTCCAATATTTAATTAATATATACAAAAATAATGAGTGAAATAGATTAATTGTTGATTGTTACAATAAAAAAAAAATTAAAAAAAAAAGAGTATTCTATGGAATATTATTTTTGGTGTAATATTTGGTGCAGTGGGTTGGAGATGCAATAGTGTTTCACACCAAAAATCATATCAATTTGGTTTGAAACTTGCACCAATTTGGTGAATGGGTTGGAGATGGTCTTAGGTAGAATAAATTGGTGAGTATGTTATTTAAATTACTGAATTGTCCTCTAATTAAATATTATTATTATATTATTATTTAATATTGTTATTTAGATTATTATTTGGATTATTATAACCCCCCTACATTTAAAAATTTAGCAAAAATGACCTCATAATAAAAGTTTGGAAAATCAACAATGCACCCCTACCAACCTAGCCACTACCAACAACCACTACTGGGAACCACTGCCACCCACTAGTAGGGGTGTTCAAAAGAACCGGTTGGAACCGGAACCGGCGGGTACCCTGGGTTTGGTTCCGGTTCCTACCCAGAACCAGTCGTCAATGGGTAGGTTCCGGTTCCAAATTTTTGGAACCGTTACTGTGCGGTTCCGGTTCCTATAGTTAGGAACCAGAACCGGAACCAGGAACCAGGAATCAAGACTAATATAAAATAAAATTAAAGATTAGGGGAGTTAATATAAACTTTTGTAGAAAAAGTAATGTGAATACATTTATATTTATATTTCATAATTAAAGTAAGTTGGTTTGACTTTTGAGAATCGACCTTTACAAAGTAATGGAGTTTGTAATTTTGAATTTATAATTTGTAATTTTATTTTTATTAACAAGTGTCAGGTGGGGGGGTATTTGTAAGTTTTTAAAGGCTTTTTTGCCATTTTAAAAACTTTTAGGGGGTCATGTAATTTTACAGGGTACCCAGAACCGGAACCGGAACCGTTGTTACAGGTTCTGGTTCTGGGTACTTAGGAACTGGAACCGTCGGTTCCGGTTCTGGTTCCAAATTTCAAGGAACCGTCGGTTCCGGTTCCTTCAAAAAGCGTAGGGTACCCGGAACCGAACACCCCTACCTACTAGCAGTCGACAACCTAACGGCGCACGGAAGGTAGGAAATAACCTATGTGCGCCGTATGGCCATTTCCGGCTAGAGATCTAGTTGGAAATGGCCATAATCACGCATGACGCCATTTCGGGCCTTCCATGTCCTGTTCCGACGGCGGCGCCGGCAGGTGGGTGGGGGTGGTGGCTTGGGTGGACTGCAATTTGTTTTGAATTCAAGGGTAATTTATCCAAAAAGTTAATTAATTGGGGTGAAATAGTAAAAGCCATATTCATGTAAATTAATTTAAAAATAAAGGTATTATTGTCTTAAAATTTTATTAATAAGGGATAAAGTTGTAACAAAAAAAATTGCTTTGGTAATGTTACAATACCTAAGAAAATGGAGGTAATCAGATTACCTCTAATATTACCAACAGTAACTACTATTGGTATTTGAAGATTACTAGAATTTTATATTACTTAACAACTAAACATGATAATCAAGTAATATAAGATGACATAACTCTAATAATACCACATAACCCCCAACCAAACGTCCCATAATGTTATGCTATCACCCAGTTTGCTCTCATAAAAGTCAAGCTGTCATCAACAAAGGGTCACTTGTGTCACAGCCTGAGAGTTTCACACCCAAAAGGTTAACCTATTAGGTGGAGGGACTCAACCCATTTATAAGCCCAGGACTTCCCTAATATGCTTTCGATGTGGGATTCATTACATTCTTCTCCACCCAATCATGTGGCGCCCTCGTCATAGATGGGGCCCCCTTGCCTACTCGTCCACCTCATTCTCATATAGACCCACAATCACACATGGATGCCCCTACGTAGGTGCTTGGCGAGATATCGAAAGATGAATCGAGTTTGTTTTGATACCACTTATCACGGGCTAAGAGTTTCACATTCAAAAGGCTAACCTAGTAGGTAGAGAGACTCAACCCATTTATAAGCCCAAGACTTTCCCAATATGCTTTTGATACGGGATTTGTTACACTTGGCACAACCTTAAGAAGTCATCAGAATTTGAGGAAGAAACAATTGATACGCGTTGCAATTTCTTCAAGACAGAAAGCAGATAATCGTTTTACTAAAAAAGCAGCAATATTTAAAGAGCATCCTTCTGAAAGTCATCCTTCTGAAATGATTAACATCATCGAATTATTGGCCCCTTTTTAACTCAATAACTCCATCAACAGACATAAGGTCTGCAAGTTGAATATTTCATATTTGATGGCCTAAAATGGATTTGGGTTGAAAGTAACTGTTTCATGTTCTGGGCTATATTGATGATGATTGGGTTGTGGTAATCTCCCAGGCCAAGGAGTTCATTTTGAAGGGAAGCCTTGAAGTAACATGTTAATGAAATTGAATATTTTTCCCTCCTCCTCTTCAAACATTCTAAAAACATCAAATTTGATGTTTTATATTTTGATTTTCGAGAGATCATTTAATTTTAAAAGTGTAAAATATCATCATCCAAGTGATAACTTTAAAAAAATATTCTTCACCTTTTTTTTTTGTTAATCTTTTTTTTTGAAATTTGGTGGGAAGAGATTGAAATCCAAAATTAAAGTAAAAACAAAAGTTGGAAGAGATTGAAATCCGAAACTAAGTAAAAACAAAAGTAGAACGTGTAAACTTTGTTATTAATAAACAAGTTAGATAATAATATACCGTTAAAAATTATATTTATCTTACATTATATGTGGTTAAATTCTCTCTCCCGTTTAAATGAGGTTTTGGGTGAGTGAACACGAGCGAAACCAAAAACAAAATCATTAAATTTATATATGAGAAGATTTCTCTATTACATTTATTTACCCTTCATCACTGTTAAAAGATCAATCAAAAGAAGTCGTACATGATCTGAACTGAATATCAAGGCTCCAATTTTTATCATAATCAGTGATGAATGATTGTGATTTTTCACTAGAAAATATCGAGAATGTCGAGGATCGAACGGTTGCAGAGGGGACAAGAGCCTCGATTTAGCCACAACTCCCTCGAACACATCCTACAAAAAGTATGCCCACATGGGATAAACGCTGCACCTTTCTTTCTTCCCATGCACACGCAGCACATAGTATCACTACTCCCCACCTCCCCTCCTCCCGCTTTTCCCTCCCCATCACACACGTTCGACTCCGCCAGCAGTCTCATCAACGACACCCTCAACGGCGTCCCCGGTGCTGTCCCCGTTCTAGAACCCGCATTCCCATTCTCATTATTACTGGGACCGATCGCGTTGTTACTTCCCTCCGCCTCCCGGTAATGTCTCTCCGCCGCCAAAGCGGCCGCTAGATTCATGCCACTGCCAATTAAAGACCGGTCCAGACAATCCCGATCCGGCGTACTTTCGGATCGAACCTGAACGGGGTCTATTATTTGTACTTGATTTGTAGCTTCTTCATCTTCTTGTTGGTGTCCGTCGTGTTGTTCTTCGTCTTCACTGTCGCTTAAGTTAATCGTGTTTGGTCTGAAACTCCAGGTTGTCCCGCAGCAGCCCATGCTTTTTAATCCTAGCCGTTCCTTTAGACTTCTTCTCCTCGTCGGCGTTCTGATTCGATCAACACCGTTCATTTGTTCTCTCAGCAAAGCCAGGATCGTTCTCGTCTCTCTTTGAAACGGCTCCTGCAATATCACACTCAGTTGATTCATTTTCACGCACACCCAAGACTCAAAACACACAACTCAGAAAACTAAAAGAAGAAACACAAGACATAATAAAAACAAAGGGTTAAGTTTATAAGTGTGTGTCCATGGAGGTCTCGTGAGTCTCTTAAATGAATTAATAAAGACTGAAATTAAAACCCCACCTCTTGATTAATTCATGGAAACAAAAATGACAAAACGATGGAGCAACGAATGGAATCCAAAGAAGAAGGCAAAGAGTGCGCTTAGTTGTAAAGATTATGATAATAAATAGTGAGATGATAATAAGCTAATGGCCAGCTCCTTCATTGAAAAAAAAAAAAAAAAAAAAAA